ACACTGCAGGGAAGTTTGGGAGCAGATCTACTTATGCGTAGGCAGAGAAAATCAGAATGACTGAAGTAGCTGAGAAGTGATCAAGGGCAGTATAGGAGAACAAATCAAAGGTACTAAGGCATAAACAAGTCAACCTGGCTTGCAAGTGGATGGGGAGAGTGTTTAAGGTGACATGTAAAAGTGTGCAGGGGAGCAGAATGGCAGCGTTAAAAGAAAAGGCTGGGAGTGACAAGGAATTCGGCTGCTGTGAACGGGGAGAAGGCCTGGGTGCTGAGGCAGCCTTGGGCTGGCCAGTCCCGAGTGTTCTTCCCAGAATGGGGACAGCATCCTCAGGAGAGTGAAGCGATGGTGTTTCAATGCTCCTACCATGATAAAAATGATTTAATGTGGAGACAGAATGAAAGCAGACATGAAAAAAAAAACAACAGCAGTTATGATATCCTGGAAGTTTTGCTGTTACTTGAAGGGGAAGCAAAAATATTTCATTGAGAGTTCTGTTTCCTCTAATTTGTACTTTTCAGTCACATAACATTGTTCCTTTGCATCTCCTTAGTGCACTACGGGGAGTGTTAGAGTGTTAAAGCAGTTAAGGATCTTTAAAACTGGAGGTGTAAGTGTATCACATTGCACAAGGCATAGCCAGAAAGAAAGATTTGCTGGGTTCTCTAACTTATATTTTTAAGTGATTTGCTTTTCTTATTTTTGGAGACCTTCTCTCTGTTCTGTTGTTTTTCTCATTTTGGCAGTGGTGTGGGCTGCAACCCTGAAAATAATTTATAAGTATCCAGCCTAGCTCTTAGTTTTCAGGATTTACTGAAAGGTAAAAAAAGGGAGTTAGCAAAGACCTAGAATGAGCTTTAAAATATCACAAAAGCTGTTGCACTTCTTTCTCAGTTTCAGAGGAGATTTTTCAAATGTTAATATATATATATACTTGTAAATGCTTGTTGGCAACTTCTTGGTTCAAATAGTATTTACATTTGTGTATAATGATATTTGTAGCCAGGTCTGTGGAGAAATCTTGATTTGAATAGATTAGAACATCACAGAATTCTAAGAATTGAGGCTTTTATTACGGCTCTTCCCTTTTTAATATTTTCAGTTGATGGTGAAAATACAAGTCAGCATATTTTTTAATCAAAGCTGAAGACAGAAAATGTACTGCCCTGGAGAATATATTAAAAATACATTGTTATAAATGTGAAAAGTTTGACTACAGCATTGCATTTGAATACTCTAGTGCAAAACCATCAAGAGTCTCAGCTATTGCTGAGGACACAAGTTTGCTCCTGGAGGCAGTGCCACCTTGAGCCCTGGCAGCCTCTTCTTCCTCCCCATTAGTTTCAGCTCTCATATCCCCTGTGTGCCACCCTCTCCATTGTAAAAAAGCACGTATTTATGTCGCTTCACAATGAACTGAATCAAAAAAGGGGCTTTTTTTTATTCCCTATGGGGCTGTTCTTTGGCTGGACCAGTTTCCCGCTGTGTTTCCCTCTCCATCTCTGTGTCAGATCTTGTGCAAGCACAATAGAAGGGGTGGCATGAGGGGAGGAATGAGTGGCTGGGAGGGGGCTCATTTGCTTAAACAAGCTGTACCAGAACTCAAAGTTTGTCCTGAGTTTAACTTGGTCTCTGTCTCCCCCAAGCATCCTTGGGGAAGCTGAACTCTTACATTCGTGTCCTGTTTCCTGATAAGGAAAAAGGCAGCCCAGCTTCTTACAAATGAGACACATTTTTGCTTTCTGCCCTCTTCGTGAGAACTGGAAACCTTCCTGCATTCAGCTCATCCCACAAATATGCTCTGGAGTTTTCTCAGTCCTCCCTGAAGCAGGCTGTGCAGTGCTCCACGCCACTGGGTTTGTGTGGTTGGCCTGGCCCGGGGCCAGGAATGAGCTGGGCCCCTTGTCTGGCCAAACACCAGGAACGGCTCCCACCTTCCTCTGGCCTTCATGCCCTCCAGCTGTGGGCCCAGGAGCAGCTCTGGAGCTCTCCTGCTGCCCTCTGTCCCTCACTGCTTTTCGTAAGGGGAGAAAGTAATCTCATTTTTGGTCTGATACTGGAAGCTCAGGATAATTCCATGTGTGAATTAAGGAGATGCTGGCAGTATCTGTTACTATCCCTGTGTGCCTGCTCCTGACTTTTAAGTACTTCTTAATCTGAAACGGCTAAAAATCAAATCTTCTGACTTCCCTAGTTCTCAGTTGGTTTGATGCTTCTCACAGACTTGGAAGCCTACAAGATGAAGCATGACTAATTTGACTTTATAAAGTCTGCTGAAGGCTAGAAATTAGGAACATGTTTTTAAAAGCTGACATTTCTGTAGTTCTCGGCTATGAACCAGTTTTGTGTATTTTCTTCCAGCTTCCAGAAAACTCCTAAAATTTTGCTGTGCAGTGTATTCTTGAGACATGTGAGTAGGCTGAGATTTTGTAGGGGAAAGATGGCAGAAATCAGCACACATTTTATAAATTAAGTGTCTTTTGCCACTTTTATAGTCGCTTCTACAATTCTGGAATTAATTGTGATTTTATTTTTTTCATGAAGAAAGACAAATCTTAATTTGTAACAGGGCAAGAGAGCTCATGACTCAGGAGTCACTTCATCGTGACTATAAATATTCAGCCCTGAAACAAACAGCCCCATGTTCCTTTTCATATACTTGAATGACCAGTGCCAATTTTACAGGAGAAAAGCTATCAGATATTTGTTTCAGTTATTTTTGCTCTCAAATGTCTTGTGGGGTGGATTCTGTTGGTTTTTTTAAAATTAAAGACACAGGAAAACAATACTTTGCCTCATGCTTTTAGAGAAGCTGTTTTCAGTAATTCACGCACATTCCCTATGTAAGAGCAGTTGGAAATATGTTTTTAAAGTTTCATATTAATGTATCCAAGGGAACATAATAAAATTATGAGATGAGAAATCAGCAGGTGGTCCAAGGCCAGGTTTTAACTGTCTGCTTTGTGTAGCCAGCGTGGCACACCTCACCCCAAGAACCTCCATGTTCAGACGTGGTCAATATCTTTGATTCCCTTGCAGGAAAATGAAAAGTTTTAATCCTTTCCTGTGCCTTCTGGCTTACTAAAACCATAATAAATCTTCCTGCAGCTACAACCACAACAACAATGCTGCATCTAGACTTTCCGGTGGGAGGAAAAAAAATAAAATAGTTCAAGAATTTTCCTCTTTGACAAAGTCCTGTTGCTGCTGTTGTTTTCACTCAAACTCAACTGTGATTTGCATCAATGAGATTTTGGGGTGTACTTTTTTTGTTTGCAAATAAGACATGATCTTAGATAAGTGTGTCTTGTGGTTCTGTCGATATCGCAAGACTCCTGACAGGCAGTGAGAAGAGAGCATTCTTTAAAGGCCTCCAAATCCTGGAAGCTGTGTGGATTGTAGGAAATCCACTGGAGATCAGGACTGTTGTAAATCCTTGGTTTCTCAACTTGTCTGTCAGGCAGTGTGCCACCAGTGTCAGCCATTGCCAAGGTCTCTGCAGCAGCAGTGTTGCCAACGTGAAAGATGCAAAACTCAGTCTTTCGCCCTCTCTTCTCCCCCATCTCCCCTGATGACAGGGTTGCTCTTTTAAAAATTCATCCTTTTGACTCTTCTATCTGCCTTCTGGGTTTTTTTTTTTTTTTTTTTTTTTTTTTTTTTTTTTTTTTTTTTGTAATGGGAAGCTTTGCGTTCTTCCTGTTTTAAAGCAATGACTAGGGCTAAGAACTTGCCTTTTTTAATAGTTCTCACCTGTTCAGTTGAACCTATACAACTCAGTAATACCTGTTCTCTCCTTTTTAGGTAACCATCCCACTACATTGCGGATGGTCACCAGTGGGACTTCTGCTTCTGACTCCCCAGAAAATGAATGGGAGAAATAACATAAGGTCCTTCTCTCCATGGCAAAAGCCACAAAGACCATGAAAGTTTGTGGAAATGCAGATACGCTGGCTAAAAATAGAGTTTGCTGAATACCATAGATTGCTTTTGGTTTTGGCAGCAGATACCCAGACTTCTGGTATCGGTTACGCTCCTCCCTTTTACACAAGTCATCGTTAGAGCATTTATTCAGGATGCTAAAGATGATGACTGTTCCCTTCCTCCCTATGGGTTTCCTACTGGTACCTGCTGGTAGAGAGTCCCAGCTACCAAACTGTTGAGGTTCTCTAGCCATTATGCAAAGCAGAGATATTTTAAGAGACAGAATCTAAAATATCCCTCCTTCGGGAAAAGGATAAATACAGTAGCACTGGAGGAAGAGGAAATACAAGGTAGGATCCCTTGGAGCTGATGAGGGAATTGTCTTAGTATGCCCCACAGCCCAGGAGAGAGCTCGGATATCTGTGCTGCATTGTTATCAGGTAGATTAAATAGAAGTTGTGTACACTTACATATGCTGTAAAATATGACACAGTCTGCATGCCTGCAAGCCTGAGGGTTAACCCCATCTAGTCTGCTTTCAGGCAGGGTTGTGTTTCACTCAGATTTTAGTGACTGTTGCTACCACAGTCAGTTCTGCCAGAAAAGACACAGGTCCTGATGAACAGTAACTTAAAAACTGGAAAACAACTCAGCTCTAAGACACAAGAGATCTGACAGTGATTGTTACAGTTCTTTCAGCTTTAGTTTGCTGTACAAAGAGTTAAATAGTTCAAAGGCAGTTTCCTTTGGAGAATGTTTATTTGATCAAGTTCAGTGTGGCTTTAGACCCCAAATAGAAATACCAACTTCAAACAGAGCACTACTATGAAAGTAGGAATAGTCTAGTGTGGCCTTCCAGACCTCACAGGCTATGTTGGTTTGTTACACAGAGTCAAAACAAAGATGTCCCTCAGAACAGATATACATTAACTTAGTGTAGTTCACACACCACATCTTTTATCTCCCATCTGCTTCTCTCCCCCGTCATTTGGGCTGTGCCAAAGTAACTCAGATCCTGGATGAACTATAGACTTTCCAGGGAAGAGTGTATATCGTGTGATTGGGCCAGCCAAACTACTGGAGAACAGGCTTTGAGTGCTACTGCTCCTGTTTACTGAGTCTGAAGTACTACATCCTTTGGATTTTGGAACAGTGCTTTGCTTCTTGATTCCCTTTACACTGCAGAAAACAGGGTGAGGAAGAACCCAGTGGGTGCTTCTCTTAAATGGAGTCTGTAAGATCTTGTTTGCTGGGAGGTGTTGTTTTTTCATTTTTGTGAGGTCCTTAGCTGGCTGACTCTTCAGACTTCTAATAAATGCACTAAGCATATAAAAGCATTTTTAATATATGATGAGATACACCAAGTTCAGCCACTTCATGTAACAGTTGAACCCATGCAGATGCTGCTAGCACAAGTATACGGTGTCTGTGCCAAATCTGGAGAGTTCTCTTTGATCTGTCTCCAGATCCTCCTTTTATTTGTAAACATCCAGCTAATCACAGGCTTCCTCTGACTTTGATGAAGTGGAAGGAGCTGCATCCTCTAACCTCTCCGAAGGGCTGGAATTCTGCAGATGTTCAGGGATACGGGGAATGGGGCTGTGGGTGCCATCTCGTGGCTCGCTGGGAACGCGCATGTTCCCATTCCAAAGGCTCGAACGTTTCCGCTTGCTGAGAGGAGGGTGAAGCCGATCCTCACACAGCTGTGAATCCCCAAAACAGCTTCCGTTCTTAGGACAGCTGGGGGATTTTAGAGCCTGCGAGGAGGGCACAGCGTTTTACCTCTAATCTGTCTTGCTGTGGGCTGCAAGCTGTCGGCAGTGCCAGCAGCTCTGTGTGCTCACCACCCCACCCCAGTGGGGTATCACTGGAAAAATATTTAATATTCACAGGCAGCCCACCTTCCCGCACTCAGAGGTGGTCCCACACAGCACAGTCAATGTGTCTGAGGGTGGTGGTGTAATGAAGTTCAGTCGTGTGCGTGAGCTGTGTGTGATCTGCAAGTAACAGAGATCTTTGACTGCAAAATGCAGCCCGGCATCCTCATAAACAGCAATGCTAAACACTGATGTTGCCCGGGGAAAAATAATGCTCACATGCATACAGTAGTTAGAATGGCTTTTCTCCTTTGTTAGTTTACAAAGAAAAGAGGTACTTCCTGGCTTTTGAGCAAGTTATATAAGAGCTACTTTGCGATAACAGCATTGGTCCAGTGGATTCCCCTCCAAGATTTTAAGAACGTGTTAGGTAGACAAATGGATTTGCCACCAGAACCAGCAGTACTTTGACAGTAGTAGTTTGCCCAAGGCCTGCTTCCCCTGTTGACATCACCCTCATTGCAGGCAACAAAAGCCTTTTGTCCCAGTTTGCTTTTTTGCCCCCCACCAAGTGTGTGACATGGCACAGAGGGCAGACAGAACACACAGAGCAGCCTGGGCCTGGCACATGCTGTGGGTGAGGGCCTGGCCATGTGTCACACGGGGCTCCCTGCAGTGCACACCAAGTGTGGAGCATCACTCTCCAGGCTTTCCCCTCAAAGGTGTGCCAGGAAATTCAGCCCTGAGCTGGCCTTGAGGGTGCCCTGGCAGGTAAGTAATGCAGAGAGCCGATAAACCCGGCTTCATGTGCAGCCTCGAAGCCTGCCCTGCTCTGCAGTGTAGACATAACCACTTGGGCCAGGAGTGCCACAGTGTGCATAGAAACATCAAGTGTAAATTAGAAGTGGAACAGTCATATACTTTGTACAATGTGATTTACATATCCACAGAAAAAAAGTGTACCAAAAAAACCCCCATGTCCTCAAAAGTTACATTCATGCATTTCCAATTTCTTGTTTGTTCATATCGGATACAAAGCTGCTCATATTTGTCATAAAATATTTTGGTCGAAAGGGACAGAAATTTTAAATACTTGTATAATTTATCTGCTTTTAACCTAAAATAAGAATTTGAGGAAGGGGGCTAAGTAAATACATAGCAGTTACGTCTGAGTTAGGCAAGGGAAAAAAAACCCACAACCAAAAATAAAGGCAAATATGAAGCAGTAAGAAGTATTCCAGAGTGAGCACGTTTCAAGCTATGAGAAGTCCAGGCTTAAGGGAAATTATACTCGTGCAATTTTTTTGAGCATCCACTAAGCCAAGCCATAAACCACTACTGGAAAGTAACACACACAGTATCAAAAATAACTTCTGTGAGGTTTGGGAAGTGAAGGTTTTGTTCAGCAAATCTTTAGCTGTTTTGAAAATGGAAGGCAAAGGAGAAAGAAACAAACAAGTTTCTGAAACGATATCACAACATTGTTTAAGGCTGTGTTTTGGTGGGGTAAGGGTTGAAGGAAATGAACTGTATGGCATTTAAAAAGAGCTCCTGACTGTGGTGGGTGCTCTGAATATAACTGAAGGATGGGTATTTAGAGTAAAACCACACATGGTGAGGTGGGAGGGACCACATCGTGCTAGCAAATACAGTACTGCAGTGCGGGCTTCTGACTTTTAATATTTTTCTTGCATTTCTTTTCTGCATGGCAGTAGTGAAATAGGGACTTCTAAGCTTCTGAACAACTGAGAGAACCAGGTTTGAAGAAGACATGAGGAAGAACTGGTCGTCAAAAGATTTCATAAAACTCAGAACCACGTGTGCCAGATCTGAGTTGGCACCACCTTTGCTTTTTTGACACACTGCAGCAGTCGCAAAAGGCACCAAAGCAGTCAAATTAGAACATGCAGTAAAAGTTGTTTTGGACTCTTCTCTGTATTATAAAACTTACTTCCTTGTGACTCTTATTTACACCTGTTACAAACAAATTTGAAGTCTTTCCTGGAGCAGACAGCCAAAAGAGGCAGATGCCAGGTGTTCAGGGCTGCACTGAAATGAGTTTGCAGAATTTGCTATTCATGTGCTGGAGTGCTCCTTTTCTGAAATGAGGCTTCTTAGAGCTGCTGTCAAAAACTGTTTAGATTTTTTAGTTTAAACATTACAAGTGTATACTCGTGTACAATGCTAAACTATCAAGTGTTAAAAAAAAAAAGAGAAAAAGAAAAGAGTACAAAAAGAGTGAAAAAAAAATCTTAAAAACTGAGGACAGAGGGGCCCTGAGGAAGGACAGGATGGTGAGAGAGATCCAGCTGACCTGATTCCCCCTGCTGCCATGATCATCATTTGCAAGCTGAAGAGGACCTTCCACGAAGCACAGTGCTTGTATGTGGAAAGTAAAGAAATGGTGCTCTGGTCTTATTACAAGAATGGTGAAAAGTTTTTACCAACAAGGAGATGAATAAATGTGAAATAATCTTCATAGGGCACAGGGTGCACCTTGTTCTGCATCTAAGCCTTGCAAAAGCTGGCTTGAAGAGGAGAATCAGGCATTCATGTTCAGATTTGAACATCTTAGGAATCCTAATGTTTCCAGCTAAATTAATGGGGGAAAAAACTCCCAAACCTAACAAAAAGACCACTAAGGCAGTAAATGTTTCAACTTAGGGCAAGCATGGATTAGAAAAATATTAATTTCTTTTGCTTTCCCCAAACAACAGTGGATCAAATTAAGACATGTAAGCAGACTAAACATGCTGATTATATTCTGCTGTAGTTACGCATCTTATTAATTCTACTCATGATTATAAAAGGATGTTTCATTGTTCACTATAACTGTTATCTCAAGAAGAGTCTGTCTATAATTTTATTTATATTTGGCATCATTTTCATTACTGTTGTTACAAAGTGTGTACAATATTGTCTGTATTGCAGCTTGTATAGGGCATGTGTCTGTGCTTGATTTACTCTTTTATAGTTTATAAAGTTGCTATACAAATGCAAGAAAAGATGTTCAGGTATCTTTGAATGTGGTTGCTTAATCTAATTACATAGCCCCCAAAGTTTCAGCATACAGATGTTGAAGGCATCAGCTCTATTAACACATAACATCTTAAACATTAATATAGGCATTTTAAAAGCCTTCAGTGCAGTATTGGAATGCTGACACTTCTGTCCTAGTGGCTTTATGGAGCAAAGGGGAAGACTGAATATCTGGGCAAAGCCAGATACCATTGGGGACTCTATAGGGAGAAGGCACAATATAGTTGGGAAATCTAAATGAAAATGGGATGTCCTTTCCATAGAGAACAGAAAGGACCTGCATGGTAGGACCACCACGAAGCAGAGGAGAGAAGGGAATATTATAGCACCACCTAAAGATAGGCCTTCAACAGTATACAAAGTGTAGGACACCTAGAACAGGCTGTGACTGTTCTGTAACTCAGCAATTACTTGTAGTCTATGTAGAGTATCAGTAAAGACATTCCAAGTTAGTTTTCATAATCTTTAAAGCTTATTCTGTGCTTTGCTACAGTATCTTTAATAAAATAATCTTACAAATCTGCTTATTATTCTCATTTAATTCCATCTTATACCTGAGTTTATAACAGTCCTGGCAACAGAGTGAAGTTCCAGTTACTGCCTGCTTCATCTGCTCCTGTGTTTTTCCCATTCACCTGCTAATGACAAAAGGGAAAACGGAGATGAATAACAATCAAATAATCTTAGGAATAAAAAAATAAGAAAAATTTATAGCCCTGCTACAGTTCAATTATTATTAAAATTCTTCACACTAAGCGTTTAAGTAAATCTGAGAGATTAATCCCACTGTATTGATCTCTGAGTATGAAATATTGGTCTTTGTCTGTGTTTACAATACACTGTTTCCCTTGTTTAAGATTTATCATCATTTTCCAGTTTTACAGTTACTGCCAACAATTATTGTTTTAACCCCATCACAGCAGTTTTAGAGAAAATTCTCAGTTTCCTTTATTCACCCCCTGGACTATATGGAGTATCCTTTTAATATCTTCCAACAAGACCAAGCAGAATTCAAGTACATTAAAAGATAAGATTAGAATTCAAAATAATCCTGGTGATCTGAAAACGTAAGATACTATTTAATAGGAACAAGTGCCAGCTGAAATTATAAGACGTGTAAGTAAAGGAACAGGGGCTTAATTGCTTAGAATCACAGAATGGTTTGGGTTGGAAGAGACCTTAATGACCCCCTGCCATGGGCAGGGACACCTTCCACTAGACCAGGTTGCTCCAAGCCCCATCCAACCTGGCCTTGAACACTTCCAGGAATGGGGCAGCCAGAGCTTCTCTGGGTGACCTGTGCCAGGGCCTCCCCACCCTTATAGTGAAGAATTTCTTCCTTACATCCAAACTAAATCTACCTTCTCAATTTCCCTGGAAAAGAATTGATGGGTTATTCTCAATCAATTCTGAAAATGAGTCTGCAGCATCCTGCTGTTGCAAAAAAAAGGTAAAAACTGAAATGTCTAAACTGGGGTATAAATCTGCTCCTTCAGAATCACAAAGGCATGAGCTGGTGATGTCTCCAGTTTTGATCATAGCACTTGAAAACTAAGATACAGGGTGCATGCAGAGAATCCAGAAGAAAGCAATGAATGTCTGGAAACAGAAAACTACTCTTCCTTGAGCACAGGCTGAATGATTTTAAGTAACTTTACAGAAGAGATGGTGGAGGGAAAACACAATGATTTTCATATATGTAAAAGCTGGTTACAAAGAAAAACAGCAGAACTGTTGCTCATATCCACAGTCAATATGAATAAAAATAATTGCCTTAAATTGCAAGAAAGGAAATTTTGGTTAAACACAAAATGAGACTAAGTGACCTATTGAGGTCCTTTTCTGATCTGATTCTGTGATTACTTGCAAACTTTCTGCTTTAAAGTCACTTGCTTATGACTGTCAGTAGAGTTGGGATTGACTGCAAGAAAAGGAGGCTGCAGTTACAGGAAGGAATAAGGAACTGATTCCCTTAAATGCACAGCACACCAGTTTATCTAGTTAGCACTAGTGATACTAACCTCAGCTTTTAATCATGCCTCAGCAAACTGTCAGAAGTCTGTGTAAATAAATGTGCTTTAAAACCACTTAATTATAAAATAATTATTTCTTGAAACATCAAGCAGTAGTTTAATCAGTGTTGACAACTTCCATGATTTTATTGAGTCTAATCAACCTGCGGCAGCCTGGTTTCAGTTGTGACATGGTGTAATCAGCTATTTTATGTATTAAAAAAAAATTAGATCTGCCAATTCCATGGAAAATCCTAAAAGTGTAATCTGAACATATGCTAAAGATTAACAAGCCAGAAGGTGAACAAAGCCACATATGTTTTTTAAGCTCATAATTTTAAACTAGGTTTATAATTTTCAGATATCTGACTCATGATTTTTGAACTCCTGGTTTGGCAGTACAAAATTACACTGCCCTATATTCTGCTCTTCTGAATACTTCCATAGTACTAATCATGCATTTGTGTAATTTGCCAAAAACATGTTATAGAGATTTGCAGAACTCTGTTTGTTATTCACAAAAACAAAGGAACACTTATTTAAGAAAGATCATGTCTTGGGGCTGCCTTTTAAATTAACAAGGAGCAGCTGCACACAAAACCTGAAGGTACATAAATACAAGATAATTACATAGTTCCCCCCACATAAACACGATTTTTAATGCAACACCTCGTCAGAAGAACCCTGTCATTTTATACACTGGTAGTTCTTGTCTGAATTCCAAGTACTATACATGCATTTGTAAATATAAGTGAGATGAAGAATTTCAGTGATGAAAAGGTATTATGACAAAGTATTATTCATTCTTAGAACAGCAGTTGCTTAGACTTTTCTGAACTGATTGCTGTATTATAAAATAATTCATTTTCACCAATATAATCTGACTTATGCAATTTTCTGGATAGTTTTTCTAGGGAAATGGGTACTAGGGAAATGGATACAAGGGAAATGGATATCAGAATTTAAGGTCTAAGGTCTTCTGACTGTCAGACCTGAACAGACCATTTCAACTTTATCGTAATGATCCGAGTGGCTGATGTCTGATTGAACTGTAACTTGGGTTCAGTCCTATTTTTATACTCCAGTGCCTTATGAAACACGTGGGGAAAAATTTTCCTTTTATCAAGATAAAGATAAGGGTTGAGTTCTCAGTTCTGCTCCAGATACTGAGCTCTTGTTTCACTGAAGAAATCTACATATCATCTTCATTTCTGGTTGGGTGGTGTAATGGAGAATAGCCTACAGCGTATTACACAGCGCTGCCAAACAGGAGACAGGGGTGCTTTATCGATCCTAAACACAAATTAATGGACCAGAAAGGCACCTGCCACTTCCAGAGGTGCTGACTTCCTTTTCTGGAAGTTACAGCTCACAGATTCGGGATGGGGGAACAACAGCAGTTGTTTTTTTAAAGCGAAAATCAGACTTGTGCTGAAGTCCTCCCCATAAAGCTCACTCTTTAATTTCCAAACCAGTCGGTTTGGCTCACCTGTAGCATGACTGCATATGAAGCAACATAAAAGAGAATCATGTGTCTCTTCCCATATGAGAGGATGACTGCATGGATGAGTTGGTTCACAAACTGCTGACAAAAAGCAGGCTGGTAATAGCTCTGCTGAGAAGAGAGAATAGGTCTAATGAGGTTTTAGAGGTTGCTCCCTCTCGTTAGACGGGACTTTCTCTAAGGACATCAGTAAGAGACAGTGGCAAGAACATCACGTGAACTTCTGATTAGGAATGAAGGCTTAAAAAACAGCTCAGACCTAGACATATCATTGTGTAAGAAGAAAACAGCACCTGCATACTCAGCTGGAAAAGAAATACTTCTGCAACAGGCTGAATTAAATATTTGTAGCCTGAGTCCACAGACCTTTGGATTTTTCCTGAGAATGGCCACAAGTGTCTCATTTACACCACTGGCATTAAAATGGTGTGTTCATACATTCCTTCAAGATCTTTTCCCTAAAATTTCTATAACAAAACAATTAAAGTGATGAAATGAACAGGACTGAGAAAATACTCTCAGGGTGAGCAGCAATCCAGTCTCTGGAAACATCTCTTTAGCAGGTTATCAGCACATTTGGGTATCAGCACAACCACATCAGGACCAAACTAGTTACTGGGCCAAGGAAACCCCAAACACGTGTTGTCTGGAGCTCATATTTTGTGCCTGGGCTGATAAAGCATAGGTAAAAGCTTTGGGCCAAATTAATGAAATGTCACTTCTAAATCTGATAAAACCTGTTAGATTACAGCTATATTTAAATGACACTTCCATCTAATTTTGCTGCAAAGAATGCATATTGTGCTAATCAATATTGTTGTGTTATTTCTTCCTCCACTTGTTCTTTCCATCTCTTGTTTCTGTACATATGTTTTTGGGGCAGGAATCCTCTTTTTGTTCTGAAATAGCAAGGTCTGACTTTGTACTGCAGCTATCAAAACAGGGTTCTTGTGCATTACTAGTGTTCCTAAGGGACAGTCCTCACAGGGATACAAATAATAAACAACATAAACTTTTCAGCTGAAATGGAATTTATCCACCTCCGCTCTTTGTATTGCCTGCTCCATATAATACAATCAACTGAATGAAGTAACAGTGAATTACAGGAAGAGATGGTTCAGGGATGAATCAGTCACTGGTCTAACTACAAGAGAAACCGACACCCTTCCCATCAAAGAAATCTGCACACAGCATATACAGAGCAGCTCCTGTCAGAGGTGGGGACAGCCGATGGTTTCCATTTTCCATTGACTTCTTTCGGATTTCTCTAACGTCAGAACCCGTGTGAAAAAAAAAAAAGACCAGGATCTGTGGAAGAATAATAGTTATTTAAGCATGTACAATATTTATGGTCAGAAATTGAGGCTCTTCCACCTCAAAAATACATACACACGATACACAGAGGAGGTGGAGCCCTCATTTCTTATAAAAAAGCTTTGAAAAACACACTAATGGAAACAAGGATGTTTTTGATCTGGAGTTCCAGTGCCTGTAACAACTGTGTGAGTACAGATCACTCTGGGAAAAGCTGTGACATTTTCTGCAAGGCCTGCTACAGCATAGTGCTGAGGGCCAGGGACAAAGCTAATGAAAGATGATTTAATCACACAGCGAATTTAATCCTTCTCTCATGTACCTTGTAAAGTCTAAGGGCAGCAGACTTTTAGTAACACTTATAAAACAGCTACTGAAAAGGAGCAGCTCACTAAGACTCCCTGGAAAAAAAAAATAAAAAGGTCTCAGGATGGTGTTTTGCCCTCCTTCCTACAAGTGGAATATTTTGCAGTGTTTGTCTCAAAGCGAGGAGAAATAATTTGGAGGACCCACAGCAGGTTTTCATGTTTAATATATTTTCATCAAAGCACTTTCCTAGCTCCGAGTTAATAGCTCCACAGCTTTTGCTAAACGTAGGCGTGACGACATCTCACATTAGCGCAACAGACAAGAATTTAGAGGCGCTTCAAGAATGGTCACCGCGCAGGAACACGCAGCAACAGGGCCCCCAAATCCCGCACTGGGGCCATTCCCTGAGTCCTGGTGCCAGGACAGCAGGGCAGAGCTGTGGGTTACACCCCGAGTTCTGATGCCGGGATAGACCAGCCCGGTGCCATTCCCTGAGTTGTGGTGCCGGGACAGGAGGGGACAGCCCGGAGCCATTCCCTGCCCTCAGGTACCCTCCCGCAGCAGCCCCTCAGCAGCGACAAGAGGCTCCCTTGGCTCGGGGACAAACCGGCCCCGCTGTCCCCGCGGAGACCGGGGAGTGTCAGCCCGCCAAGTTCGGCCGAAATAAGGCTAAAAAGGGGCTCGGCGGGACTTTCCCTCAGCCACGGAGGGAGGGCGCGGAGTGTGTGTGTTTGTGTAAGGGACGTTCCGCCATGACAGACCGGGGGTCTCCGCGCCCGGGGGGGCGGCCGTTCAGCCCTAAACACAACGGGTATGTAAGGAGGGTGTGTATGGAGGAGGGACAGAAGGCGGAAATTGTGTCGGCCAGCGACCAATAAGCGGTAAATTCCCCAGCGCCGGGGACTGAGCACTCAAGAATGACCAAGGCGCGGGGGACGGCAGCGGCACGAACCTACGGCCCCCGCAACCGCGCCCGGCGGCGTCCGACCGGCGAGCGAAGCTGCCACCCAAGCCGGCCCCGCCCCGCCATTGGCAGCGCCGCTGTCAATATCGGCATTAGTCAGCCCCCCACTGGAACTTTCAGCAGAAGCGGCGCGGGCGGACGCGAGCACCCAGAGCGGGCGTGATTTGCTGAGGCATTAGGCGCACAAGAAAGAACCGGAAGGATCGCGCCGCGGGGAGGGGCCGGGCCGGGGATGCGCGCTCCGTTCCATCTGACTTCGCGCCGAGAGGCGGGCGGGCGCTGACCGGCGACCGCGGGACGATTGGCCGGGCGGTGGCTCTCGCATGCTCCGGATGGGCCGTCGCTGTCCTGGACAGGTTCAGAAGCCGGCGGCGCGCGCGCATAAAAGAGGCGGTGGAGCGCAGCCCGGCACATCGCGCCGCGGCGGCAGCGGGAACGGGCGGGGGAGGCAGAAACGAGGCAGCAGCGCACAGAGAACCGACACCATGTCTGCCAAAGGGCCGGCCATCGGCATCGACCTGGGCACCACATACTCCTGCGTGGGCGTATTCCAGCACGGCAAGGTAGAGATCATCGCCAACGACCAGGGCAACCGCACCACACCCAGCTATGTGGCGTTCACTGACACCGAGAGGCTCATCGGTGATGCCGCCAAGAACCAGGTGGCGATGAACCCCACCAACACCATCTTCGATGCCAAGCGCCTCATCGGCCGCAAGTATGACGACCCCACAGTGCAGTCAGACATGAAGCACTGGCCCTTCCGTGTGGTGAACGAGGGCGGCAAGCCCAAGGTGCAGGTGGAGTACAAGGGGGAGATGAAGACTTTCTTCCCGGAGGAGATCAGCTCCATGGTGCTCACCAAGATGAAGGAGATTGCTGAGGCCTACCTGGGGCGCAAGGTGCAGAACGCTGTGATCACGGTGCCGGCATACTTCAATGACTCCCAGCGCCAGGCCACCAAGGATGCTGGCACCATCACTGGCCTCAACGTGATGCGCATCATCAATGAGCCCACAGCAGCTGCCATCGCCTATGGTCTGGACAAGAAAGGAACCCGGGCCGGAGAAAAGAATGTGCTCATCTTCGACCTGGGAGGGGGCACTTTTGACGTGTCCATCCTTACCATTGAGGATGGGATCTTTGAGGTGAAGTCCACGGCTGGTGACACCCACCTGGGTGGGGAGGACTTTGACAACCGCATGGTGAACCACTTTGTGGAAGAGTTCAAGCGCAAGCACAAGCGCGACATCGCTGGCAACAAGCGGGCGGTGAGGCGGCTGCGCACGGCTTGTGAGAGGGCCAAGCGCACCCTCAGCTCCTCCACACAGGCCAGCATTGAGATTGACTCCCTTTTTGAGGGCATTGACTTCTACACCTCCATCACTCGTGCCCGCTTCGAGGAGCTCAATGCTGATCTCTTCCGTGGCACCCTGGAGCCGGTGGAGAAGGCTCTGCGTGATGCCAAACTCGACAAGGGCCAGATCCAGGAGATTGTGCTGGTGGGTGGCTCTACTCGTATCCCCAAGATCCAGAAGCTGCTACAGGACTTCTTCAATGGCAAAGAGCTCAACAAGAGCATCAACCCCGATGAGGCTGTGGCTTACGGTGCTGCCGTGCAAGCAGCTATCCTGATGGGAGACAAGTCTGAGAACGTGCAGGATCTGCTGCTGTTGGATGTCACCCCTCTGTCCCTGGGCATCGAGACAGCTGGAGGAGTGATGACTGCTCTCATCAAGCGCAACACCACCATCCCCACCAAACAAACTCAGACCTTCACCACCTACTCGGACAACCAGAGCAGCGTCCTTGTCCAGGTGTATGAGGGTGAGAGAGCCATGACGAAGGATAACAACTTACTGGGCAAGTTTGACCTCACAGGCATCCCCCCGGCACCCCGAGGAGTCCCCCAGATCGAGGTCACTTTCGACATCGACGCCAATGGTATCCTGAACGTCAGCGCCGTGGACAAGAGCACGGGGAAGGAGAACAAGATCACCATCACCAACGACAAGGGTCGCCTCAGCAAGGACGACATCGACCGCATGGTGCAAGAGGCAGAAAAGTACAAGGCAGAGGACGAAGCAAACAGAGATCGGGTGGCAGCCAAGAACTCCCTCGAGTCCTACACTTACAACATGAAGCAGACGGTGGAGGACGAAAAACTGAAGGGAAAGATCAGTGACCAGGACAAGCAGAAGGTGCTCGACAAGTGCAAGGAGGTGGTCTCTTGGCTCGACCGCAACCAGATGGCTGAGAAAGAGGAGTACGAGCACAAGCAGAAAGAGCTGGAGAAACTCTGCAACCCGATCGTCACAAAATTGTACCGGGGAGACGGAGGGGCCGGGGCAGGCGGCTCTGGCGGCCCCACCATCGAAGAAGTAGATTAAAGAAGACTGAAGCACAGACTGGTTTATGGACAGTTGCTCCGTTCTTTGCTTTGTTTTTTTTTTTTTTTTTTTTTTCTAACGTTTAAGGAAAACGTCCTTGCCGATAACAGAGTTTATTCTGTTGGGTGTGTATAAAGGCAGATCTGTCAGCTTGGTTTTGATAAGAGGGAAGGCACGTCCTGCTTTATAAGGTTAGTAATAGACAAGTTTTGTTAATTCAGATACAGCTGTTTGTACTCTGGATGTTTGTCTCTGTCTCTATTCTTAAAGTTACCACTTGACTGTTGCAGTTGACAAGTTTCAAGTTATGCATGAAAATCTTTACAGAAGATTAAAAGAGAAAATGCCAAATTCGGTTCTGGAAATTTTGGTTATAAATAAAATGTATTTAAAGCATGAATCTATCCTCTTTCTCCTCTCTGTGAAGGGGTAGTAGTCGGAGGGGGTGGGGGTGGGGGGGCAGGTGAGGAAAAACTTTCCTGGCAGTGTCTGTGGTTCCTGGGACCTGCCCTGCTGGGGTGACGAGGGTGGTGGCAGTGGAGCAGGGGGATGTTCGGCTCCGGAGAGGCAGTGGGAGAGAGCACGGGGGCTTCCCGAGGGGAACCCAGCCTGGGCTGGGAGTTGGGGAGGGGGTGCTGGTGTCACAGCCCCCAAACCCTGCGGCTGGGGCAGTGGGAGAGTGGTCCCCGGCACTGCCACGGCAGGGAAAAGTTCCCCAGAGGTGCGGGTGCTGTTTTTGGGCAGGACCTGCTCTTCCCCGCAACTGGTGTCTGGCGCTGGAGCGCCCGGCACGGGAATGCTGGTTGTGTGCGTGTGGCTGGGGGAGAACAGCGGGGAAACGAGGACAACAGAAATAGTCCTGCTTGGCAGGTGGTGGGGCTCGATAAAATAGAGATCGGTTTGTGGGCAGCTGTACAAAGTGCTGAGATATTCTTGGGTTGCTTGTCTGCACGCTGAGCTTTCAGTACTTTACTGAACGTGTTTTTCCCCCCTCTTTAAGATAATCAAAAGTTAAGCTGGCGAAGACACCCCCAGCGCTGGGAGCGCTGAGTAAGGAGCCGGTGTGCTGGGCTTAATAGAATAGGCAAAATTTGTAGTAGTTAAACTTGTCTGACTTTGCTGCAAACTGTCTGCAGAGTTGTTCATTTGTTTAAGAAAGCAAAAAAAACCTCCGCAGGCAGCGTTTCAGAGTCCGAGGCGCTGCGAGTTAATGAGCTCTCATGGAGGATCCTGATGGCACGCACATTTCGGGCTGGCTTGTCCTTTAAGGGAAAAAACTGCGGAGCCGTGGGCAGCTGGAGGGAATCGGCCGCCGTGTTTTGGTTTGTTGCTCGTTTGTGTGTGGGAGTGTTGGTGTCCCGGGAACCACGGTGGGTGCTGCCCTGCCAGCCCTCCCTGCTGCCGGGAGCTTTTAGGACTCTTGATTCCTTAAACTTGTAGGTCATGTATATTTTAAAAAGAGAATCTATAAAAAGTATTCTGTGACAAGAAGGCAGACCAAAAATAAACTTGTTCAGTATTTAATCATCAGCACAGGTGTAAGACTCTGGTTTACTACATGGATTTCTCTCAGCTCTTTTTTCAGGGCACTGTCTGTGGGTTTTCTCTTCACCGGCTACAAAAGGGGGTTACAGTTGTAGTGGGGTGAATGTGACGCTTGTAAAAAGCTTGTTTGATCAGCTGTTGTTGCAAATGATTCAAAACCACTTCAGGTTTATTGAATGGTCCGTAGGTAAATGGCAGTGCCATCACAGTGAGATTGGAGAAGTCAATTGCAGCAACTTCAGCACCTGCTGAGGGCTTCAGTGACATCTCTGAAGGCTTCAGTCAGGCTGGGTGGTCTTGGTGTTCAGGGTACACAGCATTTTCCTGGCAGTCAACCTCTTGATTTCCAGGCTGTGACATAAAAAGGACCCCTGAGAATGAGAAGATACTGCGACTTTATTTTTTCCCTAGGAGCTAGTAAATAAATATGTTTATGAATAGGACTAGATTATCTATAGTGAAAAGTTGTTGCTGCAAAATGTAATACCCTGTCAGATACACGTTTTCTGAACTGAAATACCACTACCCTGGGATGACAATAAGAAATAGGTGGTGCCCATTTTCATTGTAAATGCAGGCTAGCTATTTTTTCTATTAACCAACTGGTAATTGCCCTTGCCGCATAGTTTCCTTTACTTTTCAGCCCTTGGTTTGCATTCCTCAGCGTCGCTTCTCAGTTATTAAACACAATTTTTTGTTATTTAAGTGTACTGCAGGGCTAATGTAGCTAAATGTGCACAGCAGTTTGTCACACACCTGTGCTGTCGTCTGTCCTTCCCCTCACCTTGGCCACTGCTGCCCGGTGCCTGTTTCAGCAGTGGGGCAGGCAGGGAAAACAG